GGAGTTTTTACAATTGTGAAGCATGGATTTGCAGGTTTCAAACCTTGATGTTCACATTTTTCACTTCACCAGGGGGAGTGCTTGTGTCTTATTGTACCCGGGCCCTTCTTCCCCTGCCCCGTCCCCTCGCGTCCACTCGCCATCTATTTACAATTTAAGTAATGACAGTTATTTGTTGTTGATTGTAACTCGTTGTTTTCTTGTTGATGATGTCTCATCACTATTATTGTTGTTGTTGTTGTCATCTCGGAAACACTGTCGAATATCGACCCAATTTTCATGAATTTCATTATTGTCTATTTTTCATTGTTCTCCTTTTATCACACTGCTTCTTTATTCATATTTGAGTGATAACAACAATAAATTTGACAAACTTATATCATCGTGCTTCCTTTCACACAACCAGCCGTACACGCATAAGCGGACAATTGATATCATCACATTACAATTGCGCAATCAATCAGATTTTGGGCTGATTTCGTTGTTTCCTAATAAGAGAATTTACATCCTATCATAAAATTTTGAAAATAGAGTCAAAGGCACACACGGATGCATGTATGTACGTATGTACTCATTCAGTTCAATTACGATTTCAACAACATTTTTTGTACACAATGATAAATCTCGTTGGAATGAATTCTCAACAAAACACTAATTCAAAGCGATTCGTTTATTATCAAGTGTTCTCGACGAGTATATCAAAGAAATCATGCACTAATAATTGTAGGAATTCAATGGACGTTGACCAACGACGTCCAACACATGCGGCGACCAGTGCGAATCGTAAACCTCGTTTCATTAGACCATGTATGTGATTGGTTTGTTACACATTGGGAATCGAATCGGCCACTGATTCGTTTCGAATCATTTTTGACTGAGACAAAAGAGTTGCTTTATTAAAGACGAGAGTGGTCTACAGAGAGGAGATTCTATACTTGATGACTGAATTCATCTTCATGAAATTTCATTGGAAAATATGCATAAATATCTATTATTGTGAGTGAATTTATTCAGATCATAGCTAAGCAGAAGGAAGGGAATTCAAAAGAGAGAGTGAGATAATGTCTCATTGAAATGTGAAATAATTCGGTTGGATTACAGCCGATGATGATGTGCTTGCGGATGATCGCCATAAGGGTCCACTGGTACTAGAAGAGCGAGCAGCTGAATCAAGTGTTGAAGTAGATCTGGGATGTTCGATCGTTTACAACAATCCCTATGTACTATTATCTATTCAGCAACAAAGATCAAGACTACCCATATTCAAGGTATTCATGTAGAATTACCAACAGCAGTATTCAGTAAAAGCGCATTTGATTGGATGACCAACTGAATGCAAAATCAGTAATAGAACACAGAATAGTCAAAGAGAAGCCAAATGAAGACAAACAGAATCAGATTATAGATATTGAGAGATATAAACAGAAGGCGATCTCATCATTTCGCTAATCATAAATCAACGAACGGGATAAGAAAGATGACGAAACGAAGGGTGTTGCATATCTATTGAACATACCCATTGCATAGGAACTGAATCGATGAACTGTATATCATCGTCATCTATCGTTGCTGGCTTTCAGAATCGTAATCATATTTTGTATCTGCTGGAGAAGTATCGAACGGTGATCATTGTCGGTGAGACAGGATGCGGGAAAAGCACTCAGATACCTCAGGTTCGCTAGAATGCTAGAATCGTCTTCACTTCTAATGCTAACCGCAATTTGAATTTCTTCATATTGCCCTAGTCACGATTCACGCATCCCCTTACGAGATCAAAGTGATGGATCCTTTCATGCTTAGATCCATTGAAGTTTCCACTGTGTTTTGATCGCTTTCATTAGCGATTCAATGAAATCGAAATTTTTTAATCCTGAGGATATAGCTTTAAAATTTTCAATAGAGTATGAAAGCACTCAACGTTTTCAGTACCTCATGGAAGCGGGTTGGGCAGCAGATGGNCGTAAAATTGGTATCACTGAGCCGAGAAGGATTGCTGTCGTAACGGTGCGTAACTTTTAGAATTCATTTGGCTATTATTCCCTTTAGTTTGTTGTCTTATTGTTAATGAAATTTTGCAAACAACGTATTTCTCATATGCTTCAAATATTGGTGAAGTAATTGAATGTCTGGAATGCACTCATATATCTATGAGTGGTGATAAAGCCAATACGATGTTCTGTTTCGTTGCTTTTGAATGGTTTATGATTCTGAGCCTTTATCGAAAATCCACTTCGTCAAAGCATGCTTGATTCGTTGAAATTTGAAATAATGAATATTGAGTTGCTCTGTATTCATTGATCCATACATATGTCTTTGGTTGATCTCGTTTCCAAACATAAGAATATATTCACTCACTGATCTTGCAAAATCCATTGAATGATAAAAATTCGACATTTAAAGCTGGCGAATCGAGTTGCTGAAGAAACGATGTGCAGTCTTGGAGAGGATGTTGGCTATGTGGTTCGTTTCGATGATATGACTGATGAAAGAACGAAAATTAAGGTTGAATATCTTCTTTGATTCCGTTTGAAACAAAAAAAAGAATATCCAACAAATTAACTGAATTCGGACCTTCAAAACGTTTCCGATTCATTACTTTTGAAGTGGATCACACCAGCATTGCAAATGCTTCATGCTTGTCACTTGTGTAGAATGCGAAAACGAAGAAATGCATTTTATTGGTCGATGTGTTGTTGTTCTTGGAAGAGTTTTGGATTGAAAATGAACCGAATAACTTTTCAGTATATGACCGATGGCATCATTCTTCGAGAACTAATGTCCGATCCACTTTTAACTCAATATAGGTAATCAGTGATTTCAATTTTATAACCGTTTTACTCTTCTTTGCTCTGTATTCCAAGCAATTCAAGTTCGCATCCTGATATCGGATAGAGATTTTTTCCGAATTTCCGTTTGTTTCAATGTCTTCGATTATTGCTCAGATATGAATAAAGAATGATTTTTTTTCACATCTGAGTATTGAATATAAGGAAAAGATTTCAACAGTGCGAGCGGAAAAATTTTAGCGGTAGCATAGTTTTTTAGAGAATGATATTGCAATTGCCTGTCTCCGTTTCAGTATAATAATGGTTGATGAGGCGCACGAGCGATCCATAAACACGGATTTGGTTTTGGGTTTACTGAGGAAGATTCAATTGATTCGTAATGATCTTCGGGTGATTGTCTCATCGGCCACACTAGATGCTGTTGTGAGTTTATGACTCAGTGAAAACTTTTGAATGATTTAGCAAAGGCCTTTATGATCTCGTTTGCAGATCCCAATGTCTCAATCGTTTCATCAGTAAGCAAGCAATCAGTGCTGTTGTATTTCAGCTGTTTCGTGATTTTTTCGAAATGAACGAAACGAACAACTCGAATCAAGATACGGCAACGATCATATCGGTTGAGGGACACATGCATCCAGTGACTGTTTATTATACAAAAAAGTGCTGTTTTATCAGAAAGTCATTGGCTCGTTTTTTCCATTCCCAAAAATTTCCATTTTAAAATCGAAATATTTTCATCCGATCCGAGAAACATCCAGCCTGAAAATATTCATTTAGTGTTGCACCATTGTTGTTTGCGTGAAGACCAATAATGACAGTGCAAAATGGCAGTGTTTCTTAATTTCATTTTGCTTCATCTCCATTATGTGATAGCGATTTCAGCGGTGTACCCGACTATATACAGAAGACAGTTGATACAGTACTGGAACTGCATAAGACTGAGACTACTGGTGATATATTGGCATTTTTGACGGGTCAAGATGAGGTTTATTTTGGTTATTTGCAAAATGAGCTTTTTGGTTATTCGATTTGTTAGTCATGAAGTTCAACACCGAAAAGAAGTGTAGACATTGATTGGAATGTATCAGTGATCTGATCCTCTCGTGAATGGCTCATTACTCATCCTTATCCAACGAGAACCGCTTTGAATTTATTCTGCGATTGATTTGTTGAAATTCTTTCTATTGGTCAATTCTGTTGGACGATATGGAACTTTGTATTTGTTCAGGTGGAATTAGCTTGCAAGCAGTTGATCGAGTCTACGCGCCAACTGAAAAACGTTGATAAGTTATGGGTTGTGCCTATGTATGGTGCATTGCCGGCCAGAGAACAGGTTTGTTTTTGGAATTTTCTCTTCTTATTACTAGCAGGTGTTACCTCAATGTCCTGAACTGATCGCTACCCATCGATACTGTCTGCACACCAGATTCGATGTGTTCTATTGATTTGTCAATGTTTCAATGTAATTAATTGCTTGAAGAATGACCGATTCAAGAAATTAATGAAACAATGTATTCATTCGGTATAAATTCAGTTGAAAGCGTTCGACTCAACACCGTATCGAACCAGAAAAGTTGTTATCGCCACAAATATTGCCGAAGCGTCAGTGACAATACCCGGAATTGCATATGGTTAACGTTTTGATGACAATCTTGTGCTTGATTATTAAATATATCGAGAGTTCATGATGAAGGCTGCACTGGAGAATTTATCTATTCTAAATGTTTCACTATCAGAGGTTTTTGAATAGGTTGATCAATAATTTAGTTCAGCAAAATTCAGATTGTTTTTGCCTGTTGAAAATTAATTTTCTACTAGTTTAACACAAGACGCCAACTATTTGAATGTATTCATCAATGTGAATCATTTCCAATCGTCGTCATTGTTTAGTGATCGATTGTGGATTCGTGAAGATGCGTGCCTTGAATGCAGAGAACGGACTCGAGACCCTAATGACACTGCCTGTCTCTCGGGCTGCAGCCAACCAACGAGCCGGTCGTGCCGGTCGTGTACGACCCGGCAAATGCTATCGTCTCTATCCACGTTTGCTTTTGTTCATCGATTGTTCAGTCAGAATACCGTTTCAATTCTTTTTTGACTTTTCTGTGTAATTGTAGACGAACTATAAAAGTTGTTCACTTCAGAGAAGGAATTTGACAAACTAATGGAAGCAACAGTACCCGAAATGCAACGATGCAATCTAGCGCCTGTGATACTGCAACTGAAAGCACTTGGAATTCACAATGTGCTTCGATTCAACTACATATCTGTGCGTTGTGCTTGTTTTTCTTTCGAAATTTGATCGCCTCATTTTGTAAAACAACATCATTAGTATCATTTAATAAGGAACGAATGATTCCATATTACTGATGGAAAGTGAATTTGTTTCAGAACTGTTGTGTCTGAAATGGATTCGTCTTGATATCATTTTTCAGTTTCTGGGTTTAAATGTCGAAATTTCAGCGACCACCATCATTTGCAATGGTCGAAGGATTGCAGTTGTTGTACGCGTTAGGCGCGCTCTCGAAAGATGGCCTCCTAACGAATCCTGTCGGTATTCACATGGCCGAATTCCCGTTGCCACCGATGCATTCGAAAACGCTACTTGCATCTGGTAAGGCGTATGAATGATTTAGCGATGTGACTGTAATCATCTGACATGTTCTGTTGTGTTGTTGTTGTTGTACTTCAGTGTTTAATGTCCTCACTTCAGGTGAATTCGGTTGTAGTGAAGAAATGGCCGCAATTGTGGCGATGCTGCAGATTCAAGATCTCTTCTTATTCCCACCGAAAAGTCGTCATAGAGCGGTTAGCTTTTCTTTTCTTTTTTTTTTCTTTCAGTACCAATTTCCACTCAATTTGTTCGCATTTGTTTTCGATAAATCGATGCGCGCTTGTATTGTGTTTGAATCGCTCAGTTTGTTCACTGGGATTTTCAGGAAATTATGAAACGAAAATTCTCAGTTGAAGAAGGCGATCATTTAACGATGCTGAACGTTTTCACGAATTTCATCGATGTGAGTTGTTCGAAATTCTGAGTTGTTCGTTTGGCATTTACGTTTGATTTTCAGTCATTCTCAATATTGTATTTGCGTTCATCTTTCCCGAAATTGCTTTCTACAGCAATGTATCGTTCCTTCGCATCGATGGAATAATTTCAGAGTGGTCGTTCAAAGCAATGGTGTAATCAGCACTTTGTCAACTATCGTGGTCTATGTCGTGCGTTAAGTATTCGTGATCAAATGATTCGACTGCTGAAAAGATACGAAATACCAATTGTTTCGTGTCGGAGTGAATCTGGTTTGTGACTAGACTCAGTTCATTTTTGTATCAATTTTTACATTAAAAACAGTGGTGGATGGAGTATTTCGCTAAGCTGAATGTTATTGCGTTGAAAATTCCCATACATAAATACAGACAAGCATTATGAATTGGCTGATAGTATTCATTGGTACTGAGGGAATAGCTTTGCAGGTGCAAGCTCAATGATACGTCGATGCCTCGTGAAAGGTTTCTTCTCACAGGCGGCACAATACCATAGCAGTGGTGATTATGTGACCGTGCGAGAGGATTACCACTTCAAAGTCTATAAAGGCTCAGCGCTCATGTATCGAAAAGAATTCCCGAAATGGTAAATGACTATAAACTGTTAAAAATCGCTCGCCGCTCGCGTAGACTAATTCAGTTTCGACTACAGTTTGTTCAATGCTATAGTTCAATTAGCGTAACGATTGTTTCAGGGTGATTTTTTCGGAAGTGTTACAAGACACG